CATATATAGTCATAAAGGTTCTTCCAGCTCATTCAGTACCCTTGGGTAGCAAGGGTATACTCCCATGTTCATATGTACAAGTTATATTACTAGTGAACTACAATAGGTGTAGTTTAGAGTTTTACTAATACTAGAACAATGAATCATATAATGAGTTAGTTCATTCATGAGTCAATACTTCCTAGATAGATAGAGATCACACGTTACAGCTAGTACACACAGTACATTACTATACATGCTAGATAGAGAGAGAACACACGTTACAGCTAGCACACGCAGAACATTACAGTACATTACTATACATGCTAGATAGAGAGAGAACACACGTTACAACTAGCACACACAGAACATTACAGTACATTACTATACTATTACATAGATATGTTTACATGATTACATTTACATAAACACGCTTACATGAGTACATTTACATAAATAATATATGACGAGTTATTATTACATTTTATATGTATAGATTATGTTTTATAATCCTCATTCTTATCTTTACCTTGTGATACAATCACATAATCGACGAGATAGATTGGATTTAATATCCTAGTACCAAAGGATACTTTGTGGGACTAACCATTCCTATAGCCACTGTTAGCTACAGAGGATAATGAACATCTACGGATGCCTACGGTTGATACCATTACAGGTATACTTTAAGGGATTAACTATTCCTACACCCAGTTGTTAGAAACAGAGGTAAATGTACATCTACAGATGTCTTAAGTTAACATTGTTAGTTACCCTAGTACCAAAGGGTAATACTTAGGTTATTTATATTATTACCTTTATCTTGTGACTCATTCACATAACCGATGAGGTGAATTATATTTGAGTATCCTAGTACTAAAGGATACAATTTCTTATAATAATAATAATAGTAGCACAGACGGGTCTTGGTAGAAGGCTACATTCAGAGCAGTTAGGTCTTGGTAGAAGGCTACATTCAGAGCAGTTAGGTCTTGGTATAAGACTCCCTTTTATAATAGTAGGAATCATAGGGATTTCTAGGCTTTTTCAAACGTTTACAGTTGTTCTACAAACATTTTCATACTTATACGAGCTTTCTTTCAAAACAATTTCAAGTCTTTCATTACAAGTTTTACAAATTAAGACACGTTAATACTTATGATCTCACCAGCTTTAAAGCTGATACTCCCTTTCAAAATAACTTGTATCCTCAGGTCAACGATAGACAGGTACCGATGCAAGGTTTAGAGAAGATGGAGCTCGATCAAGACTCATCTTTCATTTTGATTTTACTTTAGTCTCTATTATAATTTTACAGAACACACTTGTATTAAAATTATATTATTAATGCAATGGATGATGTTGTTGCTTGTTTACTACTTTTCATTGTTGTGATACTGTACATGACGTCCTCCGCCCCAGAACGTTTCCGCCGTTCATTGTTTTGGGGTGTGACAGATTGGTATCAGAGCACTGTTTATAGTGAATTGAGTGTATCAACCCATAAAAGATATACGAACTATAAACACAAGCGGGATTAAAAGACTCTGATTTAGAGTTTATACTTTAAATAATAAAATATTTAATTAAGTATACGTGCATGCATTCATACTAAAATCAGTGTCACTAGGATAGTACAAAAGAATTACGATTGTTGGGCAACACAGGTGGACTTAGAGACATATAGTCAAAACTGGGAAGATATAGCCTGATCACCTATATTATCTGAGGTTGACTAGCATGTGCCTAAGTGTATTTGTGTGGTTGCAACAAGTCTAAAATCTTACCAACAATACCACAATGAGAACAGTAGAACATAACATTAAACTTAAAATACTATAGGGGTATTTGGTGTTACTATAAGTACTTTATACTAGAGAACTAAAAGGGATCTTCATTACTAAGTTGATAGTTGCTAAGTGGATACACTAAATTTATATGTAACTAGGATATTATAGACTTAGAATCTGTGAATATTTTGCTTTACCCCTATTCTTTATGAATTTGGAGTTAAGGTCACTTATTCGAAGGCCTATCATGTTTCGATTACATATAACTGGTATGCACTTCACAAATAGTGATGTAGCTAATGAAGATTTTCTAAATAATTATCTAGATAGTTCGTATAATAATTATTTTCTTACCCCGATTCTCGCGTAGATAACAAGGCTGGACTCCATCCCCACGACAACCAATACCTTCCGAACGAAGTCATTGCTGGATGGTTTGGAGAAGAACCGGAGAATGATCATCCTATCCTTGTGAATGATCACCATGATGAAGACCTTTCGGATGGTGCTAACTCCGAACTCGAGGTTGAGAACCTACCCCAGGCAGCTCCCTTTCCAAATCCTAACCCTCGTCTGGCTTTTCATGGCCCGACGCCTCCATGGGTGGAATGTTTGGAAGCATGGAGTGAAGATCAAGATCAACCTATACCGTTTAATGAAGACCGAAGCTTCTACAACATAAATGAAGGGAGCACAGCAGACATAATTCTACCAATACTGATCCGTAGAGTTGCCCGAAACGAAATTCAGGGCAGGACAGCTCTACGTCGTATCACGGAAGTTGACACCAATGGAGGGATGCATATCCTTCGCACCAAAAAGCCTTGAACATGCTCGTGAGAGATCTGAGAGAGACCACGAAACTATGCTACAAGCACTAGTCGAAACCCGAGCCGAAGTCATAGAGCTCCGAGTACGTCAGAGAGTATACAAAACATACCTGCTTGATATGGAACGTCAACTGGCTGAACTGAGAGTTCACCAGAGGGATGACCGTCGCCAGTAATAGATGCTTTACTTTATTTTTCATTGTTAAAAAGGAATCGTTTTTCTGTCTATGCCCAGTGTGGCATTTTCTATGAAACTATCTTATACTGTAAGTACTTTTGGTTAAGTATTTATGCTGTCAAGGACTATCTTCTCTGGATATGATGTAAGACCTTTTACAAGGTCATTTTCCCGAACTTTTACGTCATGAATATCAAAGATATTGACAGTCGGCTAATTCCTGTGTCATTTTCTTTATTCAAATACTCTCATCATACTTTCATGTGAGTATACCTGAAACATGCTTTAGTCAAGTCATTGGACTATAGCAATTTAGCTCCAGAGACATTTCCAAGTCTCTTTTAGTGGTTGAATCATGTTATTCACCAACCAACAATACATCGGCTTGAGCGACAAATGTCTTGAGACCATTCCACGAACACACTCCCACTCAGTAATAGGACTGCATCATAGGGATGTAGGGAAAACATTCGAGAACATACTCTTACTCTTTACTTGAACAATCGAAGTACATTTATTCGTATTTTACGTCATTCAGTGTCGTGCCGATTCTGTCGCGAAACTTCGACAGGTCATAACTTCTTCGTTATAACTCGGATTTCGACATTCTTTATGTATTCGGAAACCTCGTCACGACCGCTACGTCTTCATGTATCGATATCGGGCTTATCTAACATTTCATTTTGATGCTTAATTTTATCCTTAATTCATTTAGGTCACACAATTAAGCACAAAACACATAATACTCAAATAATACATCTCTATTATTTCGAGACGGTTTACAAAGGTTAATCTAGACTATTACATCGCTATTAATGACAAGCCCAGAAACACGGGTGTTACAGGTCTTAATCCAAAGTCTAGATTACTTGTCCAGTATCCAGGGTAAAAGACCATTTTACCATTTTTCCTACTTGGCCCAAAATCAAGGCCCAACCCATTTGCTCCCTAAAGGCCTAATTTCCTAAATGGCAACCAAAGCCCAATATGGCATGGCTAAGTCTTATTTTAATTGAACTAGAAGTTCCCAATGTCACTCTAATCTCACTTAAGTGTGATAATACTTCAATAATATATATAACAAATAACTCCGTCTTCCATGAACACACTAAACACATTAAAATCGATTGTCATTGAGAGAAGCTTCAAAATGATTTGATTACATCGTTTAAACGGGGAATCAACGCACAGATGTCTTTACAAAGTCCTTACAAGGCAATTACCATCAACAAGTAGTTCGCAATATGGGGTTATTGTTCTTTTATCACCCCTTTTATTTTTAAATAGGAGATGATATGTACACAACAACTTTTCTTCGTATACAACAATTTATGTTTTAAAATGTTGTATTGTACAATTGTATAGAGTATAAATTGTTGGGTATAAAAAAAATTGCTGTTTACGAATCACTTCCAATCAACAAAAAATTGTACAATAAATATTAATACCAACCCTATCTCATCATACTTTGATATATTTTGTGTGTTTTCTAACCAAATCTTGGGTATACATCAACGCCTCATAATCAACGTTGTCAAACATGTCCGATATGGATCTAAAATTCGACGCAAGTTCTAAATATGGATTCCAATGTGACGGGTACTTAAGTATTAAAAACTAATTTATAAAATATCTTAAACTAGTAATTGAGCCCGTGCTTTGCCGCGGGTTTTTAAGTGTTTTTGTTTCGTATTACAAAAGCAGATGAGAGAAAATCAGATTATATATACTACGGGGATACTGAATAACCACGTAACGGATTATATAAAATAGTATCAGCTATAGTGATTTTTTCTATTTAGAGAGTAAAGTAAAATTTCTAAAAGATAGAGTGGTGGAAAATGCATTTTACAGAGTATAGGAGGAAATATCATATTTATATATATTACGGGATAAACACGAAAGTTTAGAAAACGAAGGGGGTGAAAGTGATATTTTAAAAAAGTAAAAGTATGAAAAAAATCATTTTACTAAATATGAGGGTTTAAAATGATAAATTATACAAAGTTGAGGGATTAAAACTATACTTTAAGCATTGATATGCATGTATATTGTGCAATACTACTTGTACTACTCACTACAGTCAATTTTAGTGAATTTTACAGAACGGAGATAAACACAAAAAAGTTTAGAAAATGAGAAGTGAAAGTGACATTTTACAAAGTTGAAGGTAGAGAGTGTGAAATTTATATTTTAAAAATAGAGGGGTTACCACTTGTACTAATGGTTATAATGAACGGGGACGGAGATAAATACAAAATTTTAGAAAATAAAGGGGTAAAAGTGATGATTTATAAAGTTGAAGGGGAAGGGGGGTGAAGTGATAATTTACAAAGTAAAGAGAATGAAAAATATCATTTTACAAATTAAAGGGCTAACACTTGTACTATTAGTTACAATAAATTTTACGGGATCGAGATAAACACAAAAGTTTAGAAAATAAAAGATGAAAGTGATATATTACAAAGTTGAAGGTAAAAGGAGTGAAAAGAATATTTTAAAAAGTAAATAAATAAAAAAAATATCATTTTACAAAGTAGAGGAGTTGCAAGTGACATGTCATACAAAGTAGAGGTTATAAATGAAAGATTATAGAAAGTTAGGGGATTTAATTTGAACTTCCTGCATTAAATTATACATCATGCATAAAATTATATAATAGCTACAGTAGTTATTACTCACAAACGATAGTTTAGTTTTGTATATATTTATAATTAACTGTGGACCGGCATTGTCTTGCATGTAATTTATATTGGTCAATGTCGTAGCCGCCGATTTGGGCTCGTGGTTTGGCAACCGTAACGCAGGTAGGCCTGCCAAATACCAACCAAAATACCCTCAATCTTGTAATTAATAACAAACATTGGGTCAATGAAATCCTGCTCCGATGTCTGGATAAATATAAATACCAAACCTCCATAATTTCTCACCTTCTCACTACCTACATGCTTTCGGTTCACACAGCTACAGTGTGTCTGTAAAATAGTCCTTAAAAGCTCCGCCTTGTAAGTATTAATATTAACGATTCCTCCTGAATATATGATTTTTTTTTCATTCGAGTAAAGATGAAATCCGGTTTTTGTTTTTACTAATTTGATTTGTTTTATAAGCAGGCACAACACATATATACATCAATGGCTTCCGGTAAGAAAACTTTCGTTTTCAATGAAGTTTCCACGCACAACAAAACCAAAGACTGTTGGCTTATTATCGAGGGAAAGGTCGAATCTCTATGACATGAACTTATTAAGTTCTGACTTTTTTTTTTTACCTAAAGTTGGTAATTGTAATCGATTTCCTTCTGGAGTTTCTGTGGTTGAATTAGATTCGGTCCAATCCTGTATTTCTTCAGGGTTTTGTGGTTAATTGGTGCGATTAGTTTGGGGTTAGTTGAATTTTGGCTGAGATAAATTTCTCTTCAACCGTCAAGTTTATTTTAATGAACTGTTGATGTTTTTATTTTTATTTTTCAGTTACGATCAATTAAGAAATAGGATTTGGCATTGCATACGATGAATTGATATTTGATTGTCATTTCCCATTGGATTGATGCATGGTTAATCAATTAATTACTCGACGCTTGATGGAAGCATTTTTGAACTATAGTTATATATTTTCAAAATTATTCATGGATTGGAATATCCATAGTACTTTACATCGATTAATTTATCATAGTGCATGTCAAATGAGTGTCTTTTATCATGTCTGTCTGGACCCTCTGGCTCTGAAAAGGAGCGTCCAGTGCCCAAATGTTCAACCTTTACCAATAATAGCCTCGCCTGATTTAACAAAGACTAGACCAGACCAGAGTCTATGTGGCTTCCATTATGCGGCACGCCAGTATTATCATTTATTAATCTTGTTGTAAATCTAAAGAATGGTATTTATAGTGTTTTTTGTAGGGAAAATGACTTAAAAGACCAACGAAATTTTCAAACCATTCAAAAAAACCCAATCATGTTTTGTCTGTTTAAAAAAACCCAACGAACTTAACATTTTGTCTAAAAAGTCCAACAAAGTTTCAAACCATTCAGAAAATTTCAATTTTGTTTTGTTTAAGTTCGTTGGGTTTTTTTTGAACAGTCAAAACATGATTGAAGTTTTTTAAATGTTTTGCAAACTTCGTTGGTCTAACAAGTCATTTTTCCGATACAGTAATAAGCCACGTTATCTGTTTCTCTTATTTGACTTTCGAGAAAGTGTAACTTAGTTGGGCTTTTTAGATAAAATGTTAAGTTTGTTGGGTTTTTTTGAACAGACAAAACATGATTGAGGTTTTTTAAACGGTTTGGAAACTTCGTTGGGTTTTTAAGTCATTTTCCTTTTTTTGTAAGTTTGTGAATTCACTTGTTTATGTAATGTGACGGTGAGCCTAGGTTTATGATGTAACACCATTTATGGAAGACCACCCTGGAGGTGATGAAGTTCTCCTAGCAGCAACTGGTATTTAATGTTTCAATTCAAGTGTGTGTGTGTGTATATATATATATATATATATATATATATATATTAAGGATGATGAGGATGATTGGAATCTGCAGGGAAGGATGCAACGAGTGATTTTGAGGATGTTGGGCATAGTGATGATGCACGAGGGATGATGGACAAATATTACATTGGTGAGATAGACAGGTCAACTGTTCCTTTGAAACGTGTTTTTATTGGCAAGGAAAGGAACTACAACCCTGACGACACTTCAGCAGTCATCATCAAGATATTACAGTTTCTGGTGCCTCTACTCATCTTGGCCTTGGCTTTTGCTGTCAGATCCTACACCAAAGACAACTCCGCCTCCGCTTGAACCACACCACAGAAATAATTACATCACATTTTTCTTGTTTTTAACACACACACACACACACACACACACACACATATATATATATATATATATATATATATATATATATATATATATATATATATATATATATATATATATACACTTTCTTTCATATCTAACATTATTATCATTATGTCATCAACAAGTTGAATAAGTACGGATCCTCACCCATGTTTATGTGTGTCATAAAATATAATAGATCTTATTAGAGGATTTCATTTCATGGTATACTCCACTCTAGACATGAAGGTGTCTGTCATAAAAGATGAATAGAATCAAGCAAAATATATATATATATATATATATATATATATATATATATATATATATATATATATATATATATATAGGGTTAGGTTCATTTGAGACCACCTATATTTTGTGAGACCGTGAGACGCATTTTTTTAATTTTTTTTTTTATTTTTTTTAGTTAATTCATGTTCCGAAATAATATTTAAAAAAAGAATTTTTTGATTTTTCCATTTATTTTGCATTCTAAAATTATTTTTAGAATATGTACAGTGTAATATTCTATTTAGAATATTTCACGTATTTTTCAAAAAAAATTGAATATTTTTTTTAGTTAATTCAAGTTCCGAAAATAATATTTAAAAAAAGAATTTTTAGATTTTTCCATTTATTTTGCATTTTAAAATTATTTTTTAGAATATGTCAGTGTAATATTCTATTTAGAATATTTCACGTATTTTTCAAAAAAAAAAAACGGAATTTTTTATATTTTTTTTAGTTAATTCAAGTTCCGAAAATAATATTTAAAAAAAGAATTTTTGGATTTTTCCATTTATTTTGCATTTTAAAATTATTTTTAGATTTGATCTTACGGTCTCACAAAATTAGAATGGTCTCAAATGAACCTGAACCTATATATATATATATATATATATATATATATATATATATATATATATATATATATATATATATATATATAGAGAGAGAGAGAGAGAGAGAGAGAGAGGAGGGTTCAATTGAGAAAAAAAAAATTGAGAATAGGGGAATCATTCTCAGTCAATCATTTATTTTTGCCGCAAAAAGCTCCAACGTACCAGAAGAAATGGGAAATGAATGCACATGTATTTTCCAACAAAAACATGTTTCCTTAAACTATGCTAAGCATTACCTTAATATATATACAAAAACATAGTTTTTTCGTTTTTTATTTTTATTTTTAAGAAGCTATTTTTATCGAAAAGTGATTTTAAATATACTAGAATTCATGATTTTTTATTCTCTACAAATAGACATCCATATTGATACAGTTTTAAGATAAATTTTGTTTTTTATTTTTATATTTTCAGCTATCGTTATTCATAAGTGAATAAAAATGAATATGGTTTTTAATAAAGTACATTCGTTATTCAGTTATGAATAAAAACTATGATTAATTTTTTTACAATTTAAATATCATTCATATATGAATATAGCATATACTAAACATATTATATTTATATATAAATATTAGACGATACATTCACTTGTGATTATTACATAGTATATTCACTTGTGAATGTTAGATGATATATTCACTTATGAATATTATATGATATTTTCATATATAAATATTATATACTATTAGATGGTATATTACATAAGAATAATATATAGTGTATTCACTTGTTGAAGATATGTTCGTATTCAAACAGAATTGAAGGTTGGACTGAAAGAGCAAAAAACGAATGAATTTCAACTGTTCGTATTTATGATTAAAGGCTATTATTTCATATTTATAAGTTTGTCACCATATCCTTTATGTTTAGAGGCTAATTATATAAGTAGTTGAGAATGATTCCCCCATTCTCTAACATTTTTTATTTTTTCAATTGAACCCATCTTTTATATATATATATATATATATATATATATATATATATATATATATATATATATATATATATATATATATATATATATATATCAAAGGTAATGATACTAAACAGGGCAGGGTAATTGATAATCAACAATGATGATATTGAAATCGAACGTGAAACACATTTTCCTTATGTTCCAATGTTTGCTGTTTGAGAGATAAGACTAGAGAGTTGAGAGTAGGAAAATTTGTACATTTAGTAGCAGTTTTATCCTATGGAGTTGCATCACAAATAAGTGAATAGCAGTGATAAGGCGATTGGTTGTAGTTTCTTTAATGTTTTGGCATGATAAATGGCGTTTTAGCAGTTACCAGTTAGTTAGCACCACCTGTTGTGTAGAGCAGGTTTTAGCACGTCAAAACGTTTAGGATTTAGGTTGGTACTTTTACTGTCCCCAGACCACACCCAACTAGACAGTAGGATTAGGTATACAAATATATCTAGACTCATGTTTCAGCATAGCTTAACCATCTCATTTCATAATATCATGTAAATCCCAACTACCTAAGAGTTTCTAATAACATAATTTATTGGTGATTCAAATCTGAATTTGAACTTTCCTTTAGTGCTGTGGTCCGAATCCACACTACACATTCACAAAAAGCAACACAAGGGAAACCTAAGACAAGGATGTTGTAAAGTTCCAATTCATGCTTGCACGGTTTAGGGTTATCATTCAAGAAACAAACAAACGAATGAAAATAAGAAAAACTAGTTGTTGACACAAAATTCAGTCGGAAACATGCTACATTGACATCTTGTGGTTGCATTCTCTCCTCTCAACTCAAAAGCCAGTGTCACATGGGATGAGAGGCAAAGAGACAAGTCAGCCAACCAACTGCTAAAATAAATGCAGGAGTAGAAATATTGATTCATTCTCAAATCTTGTTATGGTAGTAGCTACTTGGATGATATATATATATATATAATTGTGTTTGTAAGAAACTACAATAATTTCCCCCCCTTCCCTTCCCCCCAGTAAAGAACCGGTAATAGTAGTAAATAAAGGTTTCTGATGAGAGGATGAAAGAAAAAGAAAACCAAAAGAAATGATGTTATGATGATGAATATAGGGGAGGAGACGAGAGGATTATTTATGATGGAGCGAGGAAGAAGAAGAAGAAGACATGGTGATGGTGGTGGTGGTGGTGGTGGGGGTTTCAATCTTGTCATGAACAGAAACCACCAAGTCATGGGCATCATCCAAAAGCTTCCAAACATCAAGTTGACCGGCCATGTTATTACATTCCCTTATTATCTCATCCATGCTGCTGTACTTCTCTATTATCTGTTTCCTCCTCTGCAGCACGGAAGCAGCAATGGCATACAGCAACAGATCCTCGGTAGGAGGGGGTGCCCGCTGTCTTATCCTGTTCCACGCGGAGGACTTCCCAATCCCAGACCTGATGGCGGCCTGATCGGCCCACATCACCTCCCACAAACATATGGTCTGTTGAAAAGTCAACTCCCTCCTAAACAGCACCACCACCATCCTATACACAAAGAAACAGTCCTCCGCCTGAAGCTTCTCCAAGTGCTTGTAGAGATGCGAGTCTTTGGATTTTATAATCTTGGAGACGCGGTTCAACTGCCGTCTGATCCCCGTCTCATCAAGCCTGAAATTATGGCGCGCCTTTCTCATGAACCCAACGAAACACCAGAACGCTTCGTGGTCTTCACTCATGACCGCGATTATTGGAGACAGCAGATCGCTCATCCCCTGGCAGTATCCGATTTCCGGATCGTACAGCGCGTATGCTTCCAGAACCGCCACCAGCCGAGACGCGTGGAAGATTCTACACGCTTCTAGATGCTCGTAGTCTTTTAATCCCACGGCTTCCGCTGACCGCACGGCCCGTTCCTCCGAAACCTCAGCTTGAGGTTGCGAGTATGGGATCCAGTCTCCGTTGGCTCGGATCGCATCCAGGCGAATGATACGCTGCCAGGTGGAGAAATCCTCGCTCGACTGAACTGCCGATGACTCTTCGTTTTCCGACGATGGGAAGGGGAAGGTTTGACTTTGGCTGAGTTCCGGGGGATCTTGAGATCGAGAAGAATCTGAGTCAGAAGATTCCGAGTCGGATATGTTTGGATCTATGAATCTTGTTGACCCTGATCCAGGAGTGGCTTCTTCTTCCTCCAATAATACTCCTGAATTCATGGGAGATGGGGAAGAATTTATTTCTTCACTAGAAAGGGACTCCCTGGCACTCACAACTTCTTCTGATTCTGCAGAATCCATGCCTTGACTGTGACTGTCCCCATTGCTGCTGCTTTCACCTACAAGCTTCCTGCATTGCCTACGTAATTTCTCGTACTTCTTTCTGTAAAAACATTGCTTCGCTTTAGATTGTTCTATGAAAATAAATATATATATATATATATATATATATATTATACTCAAAGTGACAGGGCGTACCTCCCCTGAGTTCTTAGTTTATCTCTTTCTTCTTTGCAAGTGTTGAGCTCATAACTATTAAAAAAAAAAAAAAAAAAAAACAGAAATTTTGAAATGGAAGGAGAAATAAAATTTGGAAAGGAGATACTATTAATTTATTATACTTACACTCCAAGTAGGAACGGCCAAACTTCTGACCTGATACTTGCATCCACTCCCTACAAATCAATTATATATGAGAAACTAAGTACCGAATTGAAATGAAATGCTGTAGCTGTGAGTAAGGAATAGGAACATGCATACCCCACTGCGGACTTTTTTAAGAAATTTAACACCATCTCGAAGTTTTCCATCAGGTGTAAACAAATTTCTCCACTGTTGAGGAGTGAGTGCGTGTTTTCTTTTCCTACGTGACCATGGTGATTTCAGACGCCCCCTGTCATCAATGATATCAATATGTCAGCTCAGCTCAGTGATGCAGTTTCATGTAACTTTTGTAGATTCTATATATATAACTACTTCAGTTACAGTGGAGAGTGGTAACCATAAAACTGACTGATTCTATTAACCATGACCAGAACCAGATTATGATTATGATTTCTGCCAACTGAATTTACCTTTCTTGTCCTTGCCTTCTACTGGCTCATCCTTTTAATATTATCCTTAGTTCTACTAAACTACCTTCTTATCATTTTTCCAACATGGGCTTTTTAATCTTTATCATTAAAACAAGTAAAATTAAGGACAACACTAGGTTTATTGTGGAAAAATATACATTTTTACTAGAATCTCTAATCACTCTTTTAACTAGTGTCCAAAAATGCCATCTATTTTCACTACATGTTTGGCATTAGAACTCCATGTTTGGGCAATGGAAATTCATATTCAGATGGCAAAAGAACTCCATGTTTGGCATTATGTTCAACCATCTTCCACGACTTTACTGATTTTTAAAATAAAAAAGGAAAGAGGAAGAAAAAGGTTGAAACAGAAAAAGACCAACAAAAATTGTATATAATCAATGCACGATCCAAATGCCAAATCCTTATCCTTGTCAAGTAGAAAGTATAAAAACGAATAACTAAATACCATAAAAATTAACGTCCATACACCTAATGATATTTAAAACAAAAAAGCAGGGGCCTGAACTCGTCAAACACCTTCTAAAGCTGCGAATTTATTAAATAAACAACCAGCAGAATCAGAATCATATAGTTCATTAAAGTTGGACAAGACCTAAGAAAAGAGGGGAAAAGGTACTGCTACAATCAAGGATTTGAGAAAAGATTGAGATCAAGATTTAAAATGAACATAGCGACGGATACCGGAAAAACATGATTTGGATCAAAGAAGAATATACTCACCGATCCGAAGTGGAACACGAAGCTGGTGAGGAAGAAGCAACAACGAATAAAACAGATCTCAAATGAATCCACGAAGACGACGAATTTGATGAATTTGAAGACGACGACGAGGAAGACGAAGTTTGACTACGTCTTAGGGCTTTCATCAATCTACTAGAGAAACTTGTCGTGGAAACCAACAAAAGAAAAGAGGAACAAAGGGGAAAATAGTCCTAGGGGACCAATACTTCTAGGGTTTGAAGTTGAGTTGAACAAGTGGTGTGGTTATTACCAATTAATTGTGGTCATTTTTGTTACCTAGTGGTGGAGTACATAGCAGCAGCGATTACAAGGGCGGCGAAGACGGTGATGGCGAGATTTACTCCGGCATTTGAAGGTTGGCAGCCGCCGCCGCCGCCGTTGCTGCTGCTGCTGCAGATGAAGAAATCACCTAGCTTATACAGCATTAGCGGCGGAGGAATAGAATAGGAAGATGAAGAGCATGGAGAGAGGAAAGAATATCCACCATGAAATCAACTGCTCTCAAAAACCTTTAACTTTGGGCTCTTGAGTCTGGTGTTTTCTTTGTCTCATCTCCTGCTTTCTCTCTCTCTCTCTCTCTCTCTCTCTCTCTCTCTCTCTCTCTCTAGACTCTGCGAGGGTGGGTGGGCGGGTGGGTACTGGCACTGGGGCATGTGAGCGTAGTAGTATCAAGTATTAAAGCATTAGAATATTAATGCAACTGATCCATCATTAATTAAAGAGTAATTAAATTACACGAATACCCTCTGTGGTTTAACATAATTTGCATGTTTGGTCTCATTATTTATTTATTTATTTATTATCATCCTTGCAGTTTGGATTTATTTCCGTTTGGTCTCTAATCAAATCCAAAAGACTAATATATACTTCGCCCAATTTTTTTTTCCTTTTACTTTCATTCTTTATTAAATATTTATAATCTTTTATAACAATCCAATCCGAAAATTTGAATATTTAATTATATTCTTTTCAACGTATAAAACTAGTTTGGCGTAAGACACTAAAATAAATTGTTATTTTGGAAAATCACAATCTACTGAGTTAAAATAACTTCTAACACAACGTATTTGTGTAGAACGTGGTGTGTTTGATCAAAGTAATGAAAATGAAAAATCAATGAAAGAGGGTGACGTGTTCAATGGTGGATACAGACACGCCCAGATGATAGACACATGTAGCACAAACACGACACGTGGCAATTCATGGATTTGTGACAAGGCAAATACATAGCATATATTATGAGTATCCACAACGCGTCTCTAGTAAACATAATCGGATGAGTGATACATGTAGACATGTGACAATGTTTTCGTAACCCACCTGGACACAATGCATCCCCATAGATAATAGTTGTCCAGGGTACGAATTCCCCATACGGATAAAGGTTTCCTTCAGGAAACATTGTTAAAGGTTTCCTTCGAGAAACATTGATATAAATTTCATTCGAGACCGATCCAAAAGATATTGGACCGAATGAATACCTTTCGAGAGAATTTCGAAAAAAGAACAATTTTTTCTAAAACCGATCCCAATAAAACATGATTGTTCGAAGAACAACGTGAGACTAGTCTAAGAGAAAAATCTGGAGTGAAAGTTTATATACATATCATTTTAATGTTAATTACATATTTTTTAATCACGCATCACCCCAACTTTTTCATTATTTCTTTTGTTATATGTTAGTGAACCACTTTTATTAAAAATTAATGTATCCTTTTGGTGTTGATCGCACGTTTGTTAAGGGAAAGGTCAAAACAAAAAAATACTAGCACCGAATAAAAAAACACACAAAGAACTTGAGACCTGTCCAAAAAAAAAACCGACATAAACCCATTCAGTACCAGTTAGAAAAAAAAAAAAAAAAAAAAAAAAAAAAAAAAAAAAAAAAAAGACAAGAGCGTTTCAACCGGTCCTAAAAAAGACCAGACAATTTCAAGACAAACTTAAGATCGGCAATTTACATTTTCATCTTAACATACTCTCTCTCTCTCTCTCTCTCTCTCTCTCTATATATATATATATATATATATATATATATATATATATATATATATATATATATATATATATATATATATATATATATATATATATCATTACTAATAAATGAAAATAATTTTGTCACATATCATTTTGTCTTAATTTTAAGATATTTATTTTCCACTTATCATTTATTTTATTTTTTATTTTTCAGTATATCATGAATTTAGTTTCTATAAATTAAACATACCATAATAACTATATTAATTTCAAATTTTAAATTTCAAACTTTCAATTTCAATTTTAAATAAATTTAAAGTTATATATATATATATATATATATATATATATATATATATATATATATATATTATTTTGATATTTATACCTATTACTATTACTAATTTAGAAGTATTGTATTATTATAGTTAAGAGAAGTTATGATTATTTGAAAATTTTGCGCATTTTAATAAACTACAAATTAAATAAAAAAATTTGTTTTCATATAGAGCCATTATATTTTGTTTAATTTATTTAAAGAAGTTTAATGATGGATTATAATTGATAAAATATGGATTGCATTTTGCATGCCTATCCATAAACTTTTGCTTTTGCTTTCTTTTCTCTTTCAAAGAAATCACCACGCCTATTTTTTTTGACTCACCACTTCGCTTTCTTTCGTAGACATCTTTTTTTTTTCTAATTTTTCAATTATTATCTTATTATCTTATAATATGTAAAGTTAGAGGCAATAAAATCAACACAAAATTAAATAGATGGTTTTTACGGTTGGTAAAAGCACCACAAATAGTTTTATGTCTCAATATTTTGGCATAAATTATATAATAAAATATATTTTATCCTTATAACTAATGTCATTATATGGCCGAGCCGATGTTAAATAGATGTGTAATGATCAATTTATTTATGTTTGTTTTGGGATTCAATATAAGACCATGTGGTATCAATATGCGTAAAAGCCATTACATTTCATCGTCATACACCATTACAACTTATTTATTATTATGTGGGGATGGTGTTTACTAATGAACAACTCTTACACCATTACAACTCATTTACTATTGTGTGGGGATGGTGTTCAAGAGAGAAAACAGAAGACAGAAAGAAGAAATAGATAGAAAGAAACGTTTTAATTGGGTTCGAGAAACCGTAATTGGCTTCAATCTGCACCACCATTACTCTCATTGGGGGCAGTGTTCACTAGTGAACATCTCCTCCGCATAGGATTCTTACGCTTGAAGAAAGAACTATACCTCATGGCCTAACCACTAATTTAATTGTTCATCATGACTAATTTCTTTTTCATGCATTTCTTTAATAATCACAGTTAGCCAACGTTAATAATTCATTCTATTAGGTTTTCAAATTAATATTGTTTTCAAAGAAGAATATAAAGATGAAGATGAAGCTCAAGTTTTGGTTAGTTGCATGCATGTTGGCCTCACATTTTGGAGGTATGTAAAAGTGAAATTGAAGCTCTATAAAATAGGGGTGTGTATGAGACGGTTTGGTTCGGATATTGGTCAAAACCAAATTATAACAATTACAATTGGTTAATGTATTTCAATAACCATTTTAGTCGATTAATGATTATGGTTAATGGCTAATATCGGTTAACCATAATGGTCCAAAATGACATAAAAATAAAAATATTTTTTTATAAAAATGGAAAAACACAAAGTAGATTGTTATAAAAAAATGAATGATTATATATATATATATATATATATATATATATATATATATATATATATATATATATATATATAGAGAGAGAGAGAGAGTCAAGATCAAATAAGAAAGAAATTTTTGATAGGAAGGTAAGAAATTTTTTATATGCATATTTTTTTAGCAAAAAATTAAATGAATCATTAGATGATTCAAAACTAAGATGATTCACAAGAAAAAAAAATCCGAAAAAAAACACATTCATGATTCATTTTTAGGTAAATCAAGAAAAAATTTCAATTTTATGACAATTTTAGTGAATATCAACAAAATCATCATAAAAATGAATCATCGAAATGTTTTTTCGCGATTTTTTTTGCTGAATCATGTTATTATTGATTTATTTAATGATTCATTTGTTTTTTTTCGCCAAAAAAATAAGTCGAAAAAATTTTTCTTACCTTCCTACCAAAAAAAATTCTTACCGGATCTATATCCTATATATATATATATATATATATATATATATATATATATATATATAGAGAGAGAGAGAGAGAGAGAGAGAGAGAGTGTGTGTGTGTGTGTGTGTGTGTGTGAAAGAGAGAGAGAGCTAGATTCAGGTGTTTAATGTATCTATTATGTTATTGTATGCATAAATGTGGGCCAATCAAAATTTAAAATATAAATAAATAACTAAATAAATAAATAAGGATAAATAGGTAATTTGATAATCAGTTTCCATAAATAATATCCTATAATTATGGTAAATATTGACTTTAGCTGGCTAGGTTTTCTCCATCGGCTTTTTAAAACCACCACCTATTCGATCCCAACCATTACTGCCGATGTTGAAGGACACAACACAACCATAATTACCGTCATCACCGAAGGTCCTCCACCACTCGTCGCCTTCATCCACCAATGTCAGCCAGCAGGCAGAATCAACTGCAAGGCTCGATTTGAGACGAGCAGATGCAATTGTGCTGTGAAGAGGCATCATGGATTCAACCATTCCCAATGCCCTAACAATCCCGAAGAATAACACCACAAAGTTTAAATCAATTTCGCAGAATTTAGAAATAGGGTTGGTTGTAGTGCGTGTTTCGGTGTGTTTTTTTTGTATGATAATCGGTAAAGCATCTACCTTGAAGCTGTACGAGGTAGTGTTGTTGTAGATGACGGAAATGGAGAAATGGGTACATGTTTTGGAGCTAGGGTTCTTGAAATTATGGTGGTTTGAGATGCGATTGTTCGTATACCAGACATTAACGTTGATCTACTTGTAGATGCAATTGCGCTATGAAGAGGCATCATTGAGGATATGAGTGCAAGCCCAGATTTTCAACTCCGAATCTTAGATCATTCGCAGGTAAGAAGTTTGCAATATCTCAATTTTGACTTTTCTATTTGACCATTTAATAGCGAATATCCTTAGATCAATCCAGTTAAATTCAAAACCCGATTTCATTCGCTCCGATTATCACACTACCGACTACGAATTCAATACCATTTGTTCTGATTGTAATCACTATTCTGATTTTGACTTTTTATTGATTGACAATCCAAATTGAGATACAATGCAGTTCATGTGTTCATCATCTGTTCATCATAGAACTTCGAGATTTGCTTTCAACAAACATATGTGCAAGAATATTTTTATTGAATTTAACAACTTCTTGTAGAATAACCATAGAAAGGTAAGAATGTTCTGATCTTTTGCTTCTCAGTTTTATTATATAACTAATGGAGAATGTTCTGATCCATTGTTTTGACAAAAATTCAGTGGAGTGTTGATGGGTTTTGGGTTTGATTGTTCTTTGATAGAAATGGATGAATGGAATGGATTTCTGGGGTTAATGTTTTACAGGAAATTGTTTCTTTTGCTTGACAGAATTCGATGTGGTGTTTATTGCTTGAAATTGCCATGGAAAGAAGATTAAGCAATATTAATGAGTGG